AGTCAAAGAACCCGCACCATACGATGGCAAACGAGACGAGCTGAGAGGATTCTTGACCCAGGTGAGGATCTATCATAAAAGAATAGGGCTAACGGACGACAGTGAACGTGTACTCGATGCATCAGCGTACCTTAAAGGAGACGCTTTGGAATGGTTCGAACCCATTGCACGAGACTATCTTGAGAATAGTGAAGAACACCAGGAAGACGAAACGGTGGAGATCTTCAAGTCGTTTCCAAAGTTTGAAGAAACGCTTAAGAACGTCTTTAGGGAAGTTGACGAACAATAGGCAGCAGAAAGAAAGCTTCAAGGACTCAGGCAGAAAGGGTTAGCTTCGAAGTATACGACTACATTCCAGCAGGCAGTATCAACATTGGGTTAGCCTGATGAACCACTGATGATCGCTTTCTATCAAGGTTTGAAGGAAGAAGTGAAGGACGAGTGGGTTCATTATAAGAGACTAACAACAATGCAGGACGCAGTGACCTTAGTAGTTAGAATAGATAATAGGTTATATGAGCGCAGACAGGAAAAGGGAGGACGGAAGAATGTTGTGGTTGGATACAGAAAGAAGGTAATAAGGGCCACGAATAGACAAGATTAGGGGGACCCGATGGACCTCGACCGACTACAACAAACAAAACAAAAGAAGTCAAAGAAACAACGACAGTTCACCTAAGAAGAAAAAGAACGCTTTACGAATAGAGCATGCCTACAATGCGGAGAAGTGGGACATTTCAAGAAAGACTGCCCATAGAAGACGCAACCATCCTCGCGACACAACCGACGTATACAACTTAGAGTCATGCACCTAACACCACCATCACCAGTCTCATCGCTTGAAGAGGAAGAGATTAAGGAAATGCCGCTACCATACTAGACGGGGGTGAGTAGGCCACCAACGCCGTTCCCAACAGTAGGAAACTGGCTAGAGGAAGAAACACTCCGACAACGTTTAGACAACCAACAATGTTAGGCGTGTGGAAACATATATACACACACAGCATCAGAATGCCCAGCACAGAATCAAGGTTAGAGAATCAGAGTACAAACATCTAACGGACCAAGCTTCACGTACCGGATTATAGAACAACAATAACGGCTCGAACAAGAGTTCCGAGATTGGGAACCGATCGAACCCGAATCCAGTGCCGACGCGACCGTCGAAGAACAACAAGTGAACCTTACACCGAGGGTAGAAGACTATTTAGCCTTTCGATGGATACAATGTAAAGAGGATAACTACTTATACCATAAATAGTAGAAGGCTATAGCGAAGTTTAGGGATCGAGATCCTACTTATATACACTTACCTGAAGGCGAATGCTAGGTGAAAGGATGTAAAACCCACGAAGATGAAACAAGAAAAACTGAAAAGAATCAAGAACTCAAACCACCAATAGGCGATTGTGGAAAGTACGATAGTTTCGACTGCACGGACAAGTTTAGGTGTAGGCGACACTATTAGACACTAATCCATATAGGATGTATAGTAACAACGTGGGAAGACTACGAACATAGCACGGATTGCTAGTACTATAGAGGATTAGAAGAAGAGTTCTATAAAGGAAAAGTATTCCCGTGGGAGACAAAAGTACTCTAAAACGATAAAGAAGTACCCGAACACGTTACTAAGTGTGATACACAAGACTTCGGACAATGCGCAATGAGAGGCATGTAGTGTGACTATTATATAGCACAGAGGTGGAGAGCAGGAATCAAAAGCAACCCTAGCCACGACGCAATTATTAAGAGAGAGTGTCGAGAGCTCGAATGCGAAGAACACCGCAAAGGCCCGTATTACGATAGACACGACAGACTACACTAGACTGAGTGTATAGAACCCGGTTGCCCAGCGCATGGCTATGCAAAAAACTACTAAGCCACTCGAGATAGGAACGATCGAGAAGTATAGCTCCTAAGTTCCTTAAGACCCTACGAAGCAATGATAGAACGCTTTAGGTAGATGTTACCATATATGGTAAGAGAACGACAGCGCTAGTTGATAGTGGCGCCACCGATTCGTTCATCTCACCCCGATGGGTAGAAAAGAAAAGTATACCTTACACGAAACTTGAAAATCCAGTCCCGTTGCGACTAGGAAATGGCGAAGGAACAGGATATAGACGAGGTCTAATCAACTTTAGGACTATACTAGTAGAAGTCAACGTATAAGGGAAGGTAACTACTCAGCGCATCCCTATAACCGACCTAGGAGATATAGATATGATTCTAGGGATGGACTAGTTATAAATAGTGAACCTAGATATTAACTAGAAGACGAGAAGTATCTAGATTAACCGAGACACCTCACGGAAGAATAGAGTTAAGCGAACGAGACGTACTAAATAGACGGACGCTAGTATATCCGTAGGACGTATTTCGCACTACAAGATAATAAAGATCTGTAGAAATAAACCCAAGAGCGTAGGAGTAGTATAGCTTAGGAAAGTAAACGCCGAGAAGGTTTCCGAAGAACCTAAGATACCCGAAGAGTATAGCGAGTTCAAAGATTTAAGGAAGATATAGCGACTATACTTCCAGATCACTAGACGTGGGATCATGAAATAGTGCTGAAGGAGGGTGCGAAACTACGACCCGGTCCAATTTACCCGTTAATAAGAGAATAACATAAAGCACTCGAAGAATATATCCGCACCAACTTAGAAAAGGGATATATACGACCTAGCGAAAGCCCGATAGCTTCACCGATTCTATTTGTACCAAAGAAGAATGGTAAGCTGAGATTATATATCGACTATAGATAGCTAAACGATGCCACGGTCAAGAATAGATACCTATTACCCTTGATCTTAGAAATCCAGGATAGGTTATAAGGAGCAAAATGGTTTACGAAATTCGATATCCGGGACGGTTACTATCGAATCAGAATGAAAGAAGGCGAAGAATGGAAGACAGCCATAAGAACGAGGTTCGGACTATACGAATATATAGTGATACCGTTCGGCTTAACCAACGCCCTAGCAACGTTCTAAGCAGTGATTAATTATACACTAAGAGAGTATTTGGACGTATTTATAACTGCTTACCTAGATAATATGCTAGTGTACACGAACGGAACATTCGAAGAGTATAGGGAGCACGTGAAGAAAGTATTGACGAAACTACGAGAAAAGAGACTCCTAGTACACCTAGATAAGTGTGAATTCCATATTAAAGAAACGGAATTCCTAGGCTTTATCGTTACCACTGAAGGCATACGAGCAGACCTAAAAAAGATAGCCGTAATCCAAGATTGGCCAACACCGAAAAACGTAAAAGATGTACAATCGTTTTTAGGTTTCGCGAACTACTATAGAAAGTTCATCCAGGGGTACTCGAAGGTAATAACGCCGCTGTCAGAGTTAATAAAGAAGGAAAATACCTTTATTTGGATAGAGAAGGTATAGGAAGTATTCGACGAACTTAAGAAGAAGTTCACTATAGCACCTATCTTAGTCATATTTGACCTAGAGAAACCGATAGTGCTAGAGACTAACGTATCTAATTATGCACTAGGTGCATATATAAGTCAGCTAGATGAGAAAGGACGATTACATCTAGTAGCCTTTCATTCGCGAAAGTTCACGGCCGTAGAGCTGAACTACGATATGCACGACAAGGAATTATTAGCGATTGTCGACGCATTCGAACAGTGGAGGTTATACCTTGAAGGACCCAAGTACACTGTAAAAGTTTGGTTAGATCACCAAAACCTAACAAACTTCCTCACGATAAAGAAGTTGAATCGAAGACAAGTAAGGTGGGCGGAAACACTCGTATCCTTTAACTTCAAAATATTTCATAGACTAGGAGTCGAAAACAAACTAGCCGATACTATAAGTAGAAGATCCGACTACCTAGAAGGAATAAAACCGGTATATAACGCGGTACTGAAGAAAGAAAATAACGCGATCACCTACAATTAGCCAAGATTAGCTACAATGCTAATAATCGAATCCACGAGAGAACAATAAATTCGTGATGCCTATCAGAAGGACAGCATGATAGAGGAGTTTCGAAAGGGTAGCGACCCTAGAGTAACATAAACAGCTTAAGGAACATGGCTATACGACGGGCTCGTATATATGCTAATGACACTACGAAAGACTCTTACCAAAGAGATCCATGAAGCACCAGCACATGGTCACCAAGGCATTGACAAAACCTTGGAAAGGATCCTAAGGAACTACTACTTTCCAGGGGTAAGAGGTACAGTAAAGCAAGTCATCTCAGAGTGTAATAACTACGCACGGAATAAGAGTGCAAAGTATACACCTTATAGACAGATGTAACACATTGAGCCACCAAAGCGAGCATGGGACTCAATAATAATGGACTTCATCACAGGTCTACCAGGATCCAAAGATCCAGCAACAGGAGTAGAGTATGACGCGATATTGGTTATCGTGGAGCGACTAACAAAGTTCACCTACTTCATACCAGTAAAGACGACGATGACAGCACCACAAGCAGTAGCATTAGTGATGAAAACAGTGCTAGCAAATCACCAGATGCCGAGAGAGATTATCTTAGATAGAGATAAACTGTTCAAATCAGCGTTTTGGCAAACTCTAGTATAAAGTCTAGGGGTAAACCATAAGCTATCAACGAGCTTCCACCCATAAACAGATGGCTAAACTAAGAGAATAAATCAATCTCTAGAGCAATACTTACGCAATTATGTGAATTACCAGCAAAATAACTGGGTAGAGCTGCTACTAATAGCACAATTCGCACATAATAGCGCGAAATCCGATACCACGAAGGTTTCACCCTTCTATGCGAACTATGGTTTTGAACCAGAAGCATATCGAGAGCCGAGAACGGTTCAAAGTATTTCATAAGAAGCAACATTAAAAGTCGAGCAAATTAAGGAATTGCACGCACAGCTATCACGAGACATAGCTTTCCAGACGATAAGGGCTGCGAAGTATAGTAATCAGCATAGGTCGCTGGAACCGACCTTTAAAAGGGGGGACAAAGTTTACTTGTTATAGAAAAACCTCAAAACAAAAAGACCTAACAAGAAACTAGACCACAAGAAAATCGGCCCCTTTAGAATCAAACAGGTTAAAGGAAAAGTCAATTATGAGTTGGAATTACCATAAGGAATGAAGATACACCCAGTTTTCCACGTATCACTCCTAGAACTAGCACCTGCTAATGCCAAACTCCAAACACGACCCATAGAACTCGAGGAAGAAGATATCTACGAGGTAGAACGAATCTTAGACCTACAACGAGTGGATAGTCAGTACAAGTATTTAGTAAAATGGAAAGGCTACGAACACGTAGATAACACGTGGGAACCACTCAAACACTTGACGAATTGCGATTAGAAACTTGAACAGTTTCATCGCCAAAACCAGGGAATTCCAGACCCTCGAGGGCAGAAAAATCCAAACCAGACTAACCAGAGGGAGACACGACAGCGGAGGAAGAAGGAGCGACCGAGGAAGCTCGCTGCCCTTCGGCTGCTCGCTCCAAAGCCTCAAGTTCCTCGAT